CCTAATATGACGAAATCGTTTAAAAATGCGACAAAAGCGCTTTAAAACCTCGGATTTGTTAGTGGTCTTTAAGCAATTTAGTCAGAAAACAGCAGAATTGTAAACTGAAAGCTCACTAACTAACTAACTAAGATTACAAACAAACTAACTAATTAACTAAGATTACAAGGAACACAAAGAAACATACCTGTACTGGTAGAATGGCCTGGGGAAGAGTCGACACTATAATGTCTACCTGTTTTCTTTTTCATCTGTTGTAACTCAGGTGGAGTGTACCTAAGCAATTAAACGGTTCATGGCTATAAAAAAAAATGACCATTTAAAAAAGAACAAGTATGTATTCTCAAACATGAAAAAATGAAATTTTCGTTTATTCTTGCTCACTAATGTAAGAGTCGAACCGACTAAGCATCCTAAAATAAATCCCAAGAACAATGTTCCGTACCTTCAAACATTTACACAACTCAAAACATAGCAAATATGTACATTTATTTACTGGTTTTGTACTATTACAGCATACTCTTCGAAGATGAAGATCTGAGTACCAGTTATGTACCGAGTTTTAGTAACCTATACTCTATAGCTCTATATACTAAGGTATAATTGCTTATGGGGATTTAGTAACAAAGAAATGGTTAAAGTTACAGTATGACCACTACACGATATTAGTAGATATCATCGTTGTTAAATACGTCAAAAAATCGGCTCAAAATACGGCGTATTCAATGTTCGAGAGAAATACGTAAGAATACGTGAAGATTCCAATCAATAAACCCGAAAAAATTGAATTTAGACCCTGTTAAATTTTGTCCGAAATACGTCTAAAATTTGTCCGAAATACGCGCGCAGATCAAAATTTATTGTAAAAAATAGTTCTTACTCCACAGTGGAAATCGAAATACGCAAATTTTCGGCAACAAATACGTTTGCATATGCATACGTTTGCTTGAAACGCTACGTATTTAACAGCATTGGTAGATATTAGTAGAAATATACAGGTGGTTATTAATAAAGTTTATCATGAGAACGTGCTGGCAGAATACTACCACCTCGACAAATAAAGGTGAACGTCTACTGGTTAGTTGGTAAATACACAGTGTTCAACTTATGTTAATCCAGTTACGCTATTTATTATTAGTGAACTTATAATATGATGGCTCCCTTCATGATGAGTTCATTTTGTCGTTTTCTGCGCGTTTTAACGGTGAATTTTAGAAAGGGCATTAGTCTCTTTCTTTTAGTTTAGTCGGTCCATTTGAGAGTTCTCAATGCTTTTGTCGGTTTAAAAAGATTAACATTGTTTAATTTGCTAATCTTGAGATGTCACGTGACCACTTCAGAAAGTTCTCAGTGGATTAGACCAACTCACACAGTACAATTTATAGAGCAAGACATTGAAAGACTATAAAGTCGATCATCGAGTCAAAGACAATGCAATTATAACACCAATTAACGCCCAATTATATCCTTTTAACCGATCTGTAAAGGTGAAAAAGAGTATAGATGATAGGGTTTTAAAACGGAACAAGTGTAGATGATTGGTCTATTAAACGGATATAGATCAAGGTGCGAGGTAAGCACTTCAGTAAAACTCTGACAAGGACAAGTAAGTCAATGTTTCGCATGGCAGTGGCCCTCAGGGGTTTTGAGGATTATAACAAGGGGACTAACAAGAGGTTTACAGCCCTAGGTAACAAGCTGTGTGTTAAATGGTAACCAAGGCGGATGTGTGTAACTAAACGGAGACTTTTCTGAGCGCCCAATCAACTTATTCTAGTAGATCTAGTAGATCTAGTAGATCTAGTAGATCTAGTAGATCTAGTAGATCTAGTAGATCTAGTAGATCTAGTAGATCTAGACCCGGTATTCGGTAGGTCAACTCATCACACAAAAATCTATCAGAAAACTAGGGGATAAAGAAAATACAGATCAAAATATCAGTTCTCGACTTACCTATCATAGACGTTTTGATAGTTGTCGTAAACATTCTGGTATTGATCGTTGACATTCTGATACTGATTTTTGCCATTCTGATAGTTATCGTACACATTCTGATACTGATCGTTAACAGGATCCCCTCCAGAGTTCACATACTGTCTCCCTCTAACAGGGCTACGGCTATTACCCCTAGGACTTCGTCCCCTTTGATACCCAGGACTTTTTGCGCGCGTAGCACCACCGCGTGAAGGAATGCCTTGTGTCGCGTGTGGTCGAGAGCTCTTGGATCTGGTGTTGCTGTAGATTGGATTCTCTCGACTTGGGGACTTCGATCTAGAAATGAGGTGCAGCTGTTAGACTTGGTTTAAGAAAATATTGCCAAGGTCAAAGACGCTTGGAAAATAAATTGCTGAAAAAATAACAATGCTTAAAAAACAACAAACCACAAGATATGTGGTTTTATATTCTCCTCACCTGACTTCACTTTTAGTTGGGGAGCAAGGAACTCTGTTCATACTCCGCACAGCCTCGTGATAACTCTTGATGCTTTTATCTATTGTGCTGTCACCATCACCCCAATCACCTGCTACCTGAATGGGTGAGTTTTTTTATCAATAATGGATTCAAAAAGCTCCCTATAATTTGTAAGAAGAACATTACGGAATGTTTCCTCGGGGAAAAAGTTTAGAAAGTTCCAGAACCCACCTCGCCAGGAGAAAGGAAATCACCAGGAGACGCTGACTTGCTGGAGATGGTGTTAGTCTCGGTGGGACCGTAGTTAGGTTTGGGAGGGTCCCAGGGACCTGGGCTGGAGTTGGTGTGAGTAGAGTTGAGGGAGGAGGTGGAGTCTGGAGAGAGGATTAGTTCGTAGTGGTGGGGTGATGAGTGGGGGGAGGCGGTCTCTTTTGCTGGTGCCCGTGAGGAGTACTGTAGAGGGAGGGGTGTTAAACGTTTAGAGTTTAGAGTTTAGAGTTTAGAGTTTAGAGTTCAGAGTCTAGAGTTCAGAGTTTAGAGTTCAGAGTTTAGAGTTTAGAGTCTAGAGTTTAGAGTTTAGAGTTTAGAGTTTAGAGTTTAGAGTTTAGAGTTTGGAGTTTAGAGTTTAGAGTTTAGAGTTTAGAGTTTAAAGTTTAGATTTTAGAGTTCAGAGTTCAGAATTCAGAGTTTAGAAATTTAAGAGTTCAGATTGAGGATGTGCCCTTTTAAATACAAAACCATCCTAATTTTTGATACTTATCATAGACATAAGGTTAATCTAATCCGTCTCTTAAATGAATGCTTTGACCTATCAAGCAAATGCTTAAAGCTCGTTCTGCTGATTAGTTACAAGGTCATCAAGGGGGTTACTTTATACTAATCACTCTCTTCCAATTACAGTTTATAGTTAAATATCATGCACCCTCCTCGGGGCATTTCAATGTTGATTTGATTGACTAACATGTATTCAATTTACATCATAGTAGGAAAACCGTGGGACAATGTTCAGGATAGTGAGTACTGACTACAGATCACAGTAAAACTTCTATCAATAAACTTAACATAAAATTGACCAGAGTGATTATAACGAACAATGGATGACGATTATACAGCAACTCACAGGTAAAACATAAAAATGTTTCAGTAACTCACCCTGGACTGATAATTCCGTTTGACTGGTGTATTATAAAGCACTGTATCCTGCCCCTTTCTCTGGGCCGGTACAATCTTTGCCGCTGTCATGGGGGTGAGGTAGATAGGGGACGGAGCCGGGGTCGTGGATAACTCCTTGTTGGAGCAATGTCGGGGTTTAACCGGGGTGAGGAACCGTGAGGGACGGTAGTTAACGTACACGGGATTACGGGATGGGGTACTGACATTCTCGTAGATTATCCCTGAGCTCTGGTTTCTGGAGAGGGATGTTTGGGTGAGGAGGGAGTGAATGGTTTTTATTAAGGTTGTGTTTAACAGAAGAGGCAAGTTGATGAGTTATTGAATAAAGATGTTGTCAGGGTTCCGAATTTCGGAACCCTGACAATTCGGAACCCTGACAATTCTCCGCCAGTCAGATCACTACTTTCGGCTAATTTGATCTCTAGTCAGACATTCTTTGCAGCATATTAAAGTATTTGAGGTCAATAAAATGATATACATGTGCATTGTAAGAGAGATTATGTGGCAATAATGTTGGCAATAAAGCACGCCATCAAATTGGTCAAAGTAAATTATCATTGTAAAGTAAAAGTGGTTTCTCACCTGCTCATGTTTGAAGGGGGAGTCTTGTTGCAGGGTCTCTTATCTTTTCTCGTACTGTCTGTGAGAGTATGAACATATTCACTGGTACTGGTTAAGGAGCATTGAGGATGTTGATTAGATAACCACACGGCCCTCTTCATACTCGTTATGATGAGTAACTCATTGAGTATGAAACGTGGTCAATACTTTGGAGAAAATGAGACAAAGTCAATATTCATTAAAACGTTACTGTGTTTGTTAGATTTGTTTCGGAGAAACAAATCTAATTTTTCATCTACTACAGAAAAATCATTCGAGAATGACTAACCTTCAATTGCTCTAGGATTGGGTCTGAGGGCGAACTTTCGTGAAGGCTCATCGAATTTACCATTGAGAATGTCCAGAGATCTAGCATTTAGGGCAGCCACTTTGCCGCCTTTAACTCCACCTATGAAGAAAAGTAAAGTCAATATCAGTAATATTAGTGATAGCATGGATAAATTTAAAATGTTGATGATATAATGTGATATTGTTCGATTATGGTGTAAGAGAATTTACATTCGTTCTGAGGGTTGTTAAAAATTTGTGGTGGACCAAGGCGTTGTGTACTAATGACGAATTGGAAATAAGCACCATAATTCAACTATTTAAAAACTGAATCTAGCGTTTCGTGGGTCGAGGTTTCCGTAATGACTAATGATTGTTCTGAAATTAATTGCCACTGTGGGGCAAAATACTGGGAAGCGTTGGAATCAGTTGAGAAATAAGTTTGTTGGGTGTTCACTGTATTGAAACATGTAATGAAATATGTAAAACCTTTCGCGTCATGTTAGAACTTTGCGAGCTAATTGGTTCAATGTTAATTAAATACTGATGGAAAAATGAAATAGAACGCACCTATTTACTCGAGAATCTAATTTAACATAGTTTGAATAGCACGCTGCTATTTTGGGACCGAAAAGAAAATCGTACCACCGACAGTAAGTAACAAATTGTACTGAGAATCCACAAAAATAAACATATCTAAATATTCTGACACACCAATCAATCAGTGTATCGAATTACGAAGATCAAAAATAAATAACCGAAAAGAGTAAAAATGTTATGTGGACTGTAATACAGCAGGACAACACAGTCACCAGTCACCAGTCACCAGTCACCAGTCACCAGTCACCAGTCACCAGTCACCAGTCACCAGTCACCAGTCACCAGTCACCAGTCACCAGTCACCAGTCACCAGTCACCAGTCACCAGTCACCAGTCACCAGTCACCAGTCACCAGTCACCAGTCACCAGTCACCAGTCACCAGTCACCAGTCACCAGTCACCAGTCACCAGTCACCAGTCACCAGTCACCAGTCACCAGTCACCAGTCACCAGTCACCAGTCACCAGTCACCAGTCACCAGTCACCAGTCACCAGATCAAGAAACTAACTTACCGAGGTTTTGCTTTCTAGCAGATAACAGTTCCGCGTCAGATATGCCCGGATAAATGTCTTCAAGGTTACCAGCTGTGGGTTTAACGTCACACCCACTGTCTGTCTCACACTGTAAGGTTAGGGTAACTGTGGTTACTAAGGTATTCGTTACTAGGTTACTAGCTTACTTGGTTAATAGACAACTTAACTAGATGTAATAGGTTTAACATGGAAATGAACAGATAGGAAGGTGGTCCATTGTTGGGTCAATGATAAATCAAACTGATACCACAACAATACAAAAATGTCAAGCTCAAACAAAATGTAGAACCTCCAGGCACAACAAGCGTGTAACACTTAACAACTAGTTGATTACTGTAACATACCTTAGTGTTGATGTCACTGTCACAAGTATTAGACAATAACTCTAACACTGTAATCTCGTGGGGATCCTGGATAGAGCTCTGCTGGCTGTTCTTCTCAAGTGCAGTACAATCGAGTGCTGATCCAGTGCTGCACTCGAGTGCTAAACGTTGGTCCGTGCACTCGACACCGCTGTCCGTGCTGTTTGTACTGCTTTGTGCCACTAGAGGGAAAAGGAGGGTACTCAAATGTTATAGAAATTATATACTACATTTTGGAATCAAAAAGCTGTTCGGAAAAGAGGGCTGAAACGTCAAAATGATATCAGACAGATGTATGATAAGTTGATTGGAAGTTGTATTCTTACGTTTATTAGCAACTGCTGGAGTAAAAGTTAGTCCCACACAAACACTCTCATCATCATCAGAATAATAGGACATCTCATCCATCTGCTAGAAGTAATCGGGGAGTTAGAGTTATCAAGATCTGGACAAAAGAAATAATCAAACTGGGTATTTCAATTATTTTCTGAGAAGAGCTGTCATAAATTTCTTCGGCTCGAGCCTCAAATACAAATCATTACTTATAGAGCATGTAAGAGGCTAGGCACATATCATTTCCTCTACCCAAATATAACGTAAAATTCATCATCAAAGTCACAAACCGACAAAACAAAATAACAATCATAGCTACAATAAAGTTTGAAAGTCCTGGAGATGTCCTGGAGATGTCCTGGAGATGTCACCCGGGTCCATCTTAAATTCATCTCAAATGATCCAACGTATTAAGCTGGTGCCCTGGTGGCACTCAGTAGTCACTATAAATTGTCGCATATCTCTTTGAAAAAAGCTCCCCCTGACCGAGCTCTGTGATTGGCCGGCGGGATGTCACGTGATGTTGAGGTTTTACGTGAAGTTATTATTCGGTCGTGCGAGCGTTATTATGAAGTACTCGTAAAGAAATCATTCATTTGTGACAACACAAGAGTTATGATTTCGAAATTTCAATCACCACCTTACTTTCCTTTCGTTTAAAGCGTTCTATTTCTGGTCTAAGTCTCAAAACGGTTCAAAATTCTAAATTTGCGATATGATTCGTATTTTTTGGCAGTGTGTTGGAACCATAAGCTGGACCCATGAAGCTTTTAAGAAATAAGATATTCGATTTAGGTCACTAAGTGGTACTTAACAGAGATCGGTGGCCGTATCTTGGTAACGGATCAACAAACAAAAATAGAAAACTTGTGAACTTTCAAGCCAGCTACGTCATAGATCGAAAACAACTTTGCTTTCCCACTTAATAAGCACTTAATACGACGCCCCACAAGTTAGCAACTGTAAGGTTTTAGGTCGAACGTCGATTGGCGGGAACCCAGGGAATATCCTGGCATAACTAAGTAAATCCGAGGTTCTGGGATTTAAAATAACTATGTACCCTGTATGAAAATCTCCTAATTTAAGGTCCAAGATAAGGATGACAGAAGTACGGAAACGATGTTAAACGATATAGCAGATTTCAGATGATCACTTTAGTGGTAAACTCCCACATACCTCTTAAATTTCCGGAATTTGAAACGAAGAATACGGCGGAACTGATGGCATATGCCATGGCTTCCTTTTAATTTCGTCATCCTCTTTTCAGGGACGAATGACAGTATACAGCCACTAAAGATTAACATCGAGCCATTGTCTGAATGATTTTGGAAAATTGCAGGGTGTACTCTCGTATCTCATTTATTGGGGCAAATAAGCTTACGAACTACAAATACCATATTATTTAAGACCATTCTTCACACTGAACACTTTAAATTACAAGTTGTATTTGCTTCGGGAAAAGGACCAGTAAAATCGTCAAGAACAAGGACTAATGAAATAAGCTAAATTGATATGTAGCTCCACTATAACAGTACGCGGATGATCACTCGATCTGAACTTAGTAAATTAAGAAGCAGCTAATGTTTTCAATAACAATCTAGCTCTATCTTGCGGTTGACGAGGTCTACACTAAACAGACGATACGAAGGAGTTCTATAACTAGTCAGGATATGAGAACGAAAGCTAATTTAATTAGAGATTCAGGGAGAGTACTTTATACCAGGTTCTGATGGACACGTGACAAAACTGGATCACGTGATGTCACCAGCTTGTTTCATTGGTTGACATGGGAACTGAAGAGGCGAACACGTGGTGAACTGGAATTAATTACAGGATAGTTATTCGGTAAATAATAAAACGTGATGTACAAATAACACTTCACAAGTTAACGGTTAGACTTTCCGCTAACAAGCAAAGTGGCCAACACTGTCATTCAAACACAAGTAGTTCACCTACTCGAACAAACCGACCAACCAGACAACCGTATTTAAATCACGTGACTCAATCCTACCAATCAGACCACAGTATTTAAACCACGTGACTCAATCCTACCAATCAGACCACAGTATTTAAACCACGTGACTCAATCCTACCAATGAGACCACAGTTACCACCACAGGTCACACCTAGTATTGTGCAGTCCCCCTCAGAGCTGTACCCGGAAGTGGTCCAGATCCCAGATTACAGTGTATGCTGACAGAATGCGAGACAGGAGAGGCAGAGCTGGTGTGTCTATAACAGTGTATAACTAAAGCTGGTATCTGAAGGAGAGGAGGTGTGAAGTTTTAATCCGGATATAGGGTTTACTGGACTGACTGACTGGCTGGGACCCTGGAATTGGGTTTCTGGTGAGAAACTAGGGACAGAGGGATAGGGTTGATGATTAGGCTGCGGTTCTCCAAACTATGTATTGAGTTGAATATCAGTATATCAACCCTTCACATAGCAACCATATCAACCATTACATAGCAATTAAAAAGGGAGAGATTACAGATTTACTGTTTAGTTAGGATAACAAATTCCATCAAACTTTAATATTACATTTTGCCGTTAGGAGTCCAAAGAAGCAAGGATAAATCCTGAAAATGATGCTCCGTCTGAGTAGGGGGTTAACCAGCGTAGAATGACAAAATATACCGACAAATTGTAGTTTCTATAACACGCTAAATGGTCGTGAATTAGATGTAATCCATTGTCACCAGACAAATACAACGATAACAATAACAGCACAAACAACACCACTGAAACGGCACTGAGCCAGGGGCTCGTGAGAAATTGTGACTAATTTTAGGATGAATCAAACGTAAAGTAAACAAATCAGTGCACCCAAACAATACCCTCCAACTTCAACAGATCAGATGGAGGAGAAGTCATGCACTTACATTAGAACTGTGTACAATATTACGTTAATTAGGGAGGTGCCTGAAACCTGCCGGAAGGTACGTTTCCAGCTGTTTATATGGAGCAATTAATGTAGAGACTGCACCCAGTGCGACACCAGGTTGTGGACATCTGTTTTAATTAAATTATCGCCTGTGACAACTTTGCTTTCTCTCTATTTTCCCCGATCATCCTTGTTAAAAAAGTAACTCACACATTTATCAGCTAATCACAATATTCGTAGCAGGTAAAAATAACTAAAAAAGTTTAAAACTAACATTTAAACACCGAGATGTTGTCAAGAAAAGGAATGTGTTTTTGAGCTTATAAGTCTAAAAACCTACGAGAATTGCCGAAAAATTTTAAACTAAGGAATTGTTAAATAAGCATTAGAAAAAACCCAAAATATGAGTCGCAGAAAAGACAGATCGCCATAAATAAGAAAATATATCATAATACTATAATGGTGACATATTGGACGTACTTGATGCTTTCCAATACAGAACCAACTTGAAAATATTTAACATCCTGAAAGATGCAGAATTAGGGGGCCAGGGGCATTACAAAATAATTACCATAACTATAAAACAGTAAAAATGCAATTCCCGAACCCTAAATGATACTTGACGCAGGGGGGTTGAAACGATTAGCGCTGTGAGTGCAAAATGCCATTATTAGTCACTACAGACACTGTTGAGACAGTGTGAGGGGTGAATACTTGGTAAAGTTCGGTACATTGAGCCATTCTCTGCTTTATCTTGTAGGAAGATAGAGTCTAGAAAGTTTAATGATAAAATGCTGTCCCAGCCTCATCCATTATTAGTTAAGCTTTGAAATGATAATCGTTATAAAAGTCAGGGCCACGATCAGTGATTTAAACACGAAGATTTTGAACAGCAAAAGGGCAAAAATTGGAATTAAACAAAGGAACAGCCGTCAGGCACACGGTATAAACTGTAAAGGTACACGGTGAATGTCAAAGGGTCGAATAAAAGGTCGAATTGGGGCCTATTAGTGTCAACGACAAAGACTAACTTTATTACTTTATTAGTTCCGGAAATCATTTTGTAAAGAACACAGACTTGTAGTGCTAAACAGGATAAATAATAGCCACCCTTCTAAACAGGATAAATATTAAATACTAGCCACCCTTCTAAAAAGCAAATAAAACGTGTTTGATTTGTCAAGCTTTGTCTTGGGTAAGTTATGAAAGTAACTGTACATGAGCTCGCAAGTCGCAATAACAATAGAAAGTGTCAATAATATTTCAAGCTTTAAGAAAAACGAATAAATAACTTAGGGCGGTCTGTGGTAAACAGCTATCTAGTGCTTTAAGAGTAGTAAGTAACAGATTGGATAAGAAAATGTAACAAATATTAAAAGTTTAAGAAACAACGCAGTAAATAACCGCTGGTTCGAAGTGCGTGTTTAATATCAACGTTTTATTAAACACAATTGTAAACTTTAGTTTAAACATCTCTGTGAGAAATTCAAAGAAAGCTAGAAAACAATTCTGCGGATCATACTGAAATAACTCGAACAATATGACTTGTACATGTGATACGAAATAACATAGCAGCTTCGTATACTCTTGTTTTTTCCTTCAGGGCAAGCAAAGTTGGCAGCAGCGTAACGAGACAGTACGTCTGGCAAAATGTCACTTTATCAACCAATCAGGGACAAGTATAGAAACCACGTGACACCTTGGGAACCATTCGGTTGCTACCAAGAATACCACATGACAACTCACATCCGATCTTTGCGGGCTTCTAACCAGCACAGTCGGAACTTACTTCATCAGTCCAACTGACCAATAACAGCTCAAGCTGCACGGTGAGAACCAATGAGCGTTCGAGTAGGTGTCACGTGGGGGTGTGTCCGCCAATCATAGAGTTGATTACAAAGTAGGAACTGTTGAATTACGTTAAAATTGTATCTGCATGCTGGTTGAAACCTCCCAAATCCTTATTATAATTTATTAAACTAAGTTTGATACTCCAGTATGAGCCAAGTACCATCCGACAAATACATTTTCTTTAGATTTAATCAAAGAGTACACAGTAGAAATTAAAGGGGACTGTCTCTCAACTCCAGGACATTCTGCCCCGAATCTCGTGCTCCAGTTAGTTTTAGGGTCAAGATAAGGGTCCTGTGGCACGAGGTTCTGGGGTTAGAGAAGGTAAGCCAAAATAAAA